GATAGGTCTCTTGTGATACAATAGTGAATAATTGTTATCAGGATCGACTGTGAGGGGTGGGAATGTAAAGATAGACGTTTTGTAGCAAGGAGGGGCGTGATTAACTTTATAGTCTAAGAGCAGTTTCATTTGTGCTTTTAAAAATGATTTCCAAAATTGAGATAGCTAAATCAATAACGTATGTCACCTAAATAGGAAGCATAATCCAAGAAATTTAGTATGAATTAACCCATAAAATCCATACATATGATAGCTATAGCAATACTTATGGATTAATAATAATTATTAAGAACTAATGCCAATTATTGAGATACATTCTACATAGCATGCTACAAGCTTTATCTCCTATAATCCATAGCACAACCCTATAAAATGATGATTATTATCACCTATTATTGTTTATGGAATCCTGGGTGACACTATAGGATAAACACTGGACTACTAACCACAAGGCTGGCAGTTCAAACCCACCAGCTGCTACTGGGAAACCTTATACAGAGTTGCTATGAGTTGCAATCAACTTGATGGCACTGCAACAACATCAACAACATTATTGCTCATAATTCAAAAAATTGTTGAGAATTCAAATGTCGATCGGCAGGGGGAAGTCCAGGTATGGTGCTGTAGGATAAGCACTGAACCACGAGGTCGTTTGAATCACAAGTTCGACAGTTCAATCTCACCAGCAGTTCCTTGGAAATCCTATACAGGGTCGCTATGAGTCGGAACTGACTTGATGGTACTAATAACAAGGAGTCCTGGTGTGGTGCTGTGGAATAAAGCACTGGACCACAATGTCAGCTTGAACCACAAGACTGGTGGTTCAAAATCACCAGCTGCTCCTTGGAAACCCTATAACAGGGTTACTATGAGTTGTAACTGACTCTTCAGCACTTAACAACAAGAACAAATAGATAAATACTCATTTGCTAGAAAACCAATAAAAAGGAATAACTAAAACTATTGTGTCTACAGTGAACAATCTCAAAAGCAAAGATTATGTGAAAAAAAAATTTCTCAGAATACACATCAGCCTGATCTCATCAAAACCATGCTAAAGAGCAAGGAAACCAACATATGTCAGGATAAGAAAGGAAAGAGATACTGCTGGGGGCAAAATATTCAAAGGCTTCAATGGTTTTTAGTAACATTCTACTTCTCAAACTGGATGGTTGATAAATAAGAATTACTTATAGTTCTCTTTATCCTTTAAATAGTGTTTCATATATATTCTTTTTTATGCCTGAAATGGTTCAGAATAGAAGGAAATAAGTACATCAAACAGAAAGCCATTTATATAGGTGACATTCCATGTCTCTGTATCAATAGTATATTAATAAGGTGAGCAAACCCATTCTTAATTTTCTAAGAAGATAAATTTTTCTCAGTGGATAAGTCTGGGATTAAGCAAAAGTCATTGAACCCACTCCTCAAATCTTAACTTTGGGAAAATGAAGACTTCTAACACGTTAGTTAAAGTCTAATGGTGACTTGGCTGGAGTCATCAATACAAACGATGAGAGATCCAAATCCCACCACTCTCTCTCTCACATGTTTCCTGTACATTTCCTGGTTTCTCTCATACCTGGGACAAGTCACTTCTCCCATGACCAAACAGCTTTGCCTTGATCTCTTCCACTTTTCGCCTGTCATCTTCATTTAATTCTGAAATGGAGTATCCACACTCGTGAGCCATATTAAACTTCAGACTCCAGGCTAGAGAGAAAGCATAAAATAATATACTGAAAAGGTGATCACCTTCATCAGTGATTATAAGAGCAAAGATCAATATATTCTATAACATGCCGACACAACCCTAGCAAAAATTTTTCCTTTCAATTACATGACAAACTACTACAAGTTGAGAGAGATGATGTCACTATAAATCATATTCTATAGTTATTTCTCCACAGAAGGTACTTTCCATCTGATATTCAATCATTTGCATCCTAATCTTTCTTCATATGAAGAGTCCTTTTGACTCCTGCTTTAGTCCTGTTACAGTTACTACCATTTCTATGAGCGCAGGTATTTTTAAATCACAAAACTTGTGGGGTTTTTTGCTTTGAGAACTGAAATATGCATAAATGGTAGAAGAAAAAAAATGTAAACAGCTATCCTCAAAGGAGGATTTCTAGGTATAAATGAATTGTTTTTAAGGTGTCGTTCTCCCTCACACCCCCAGTATATTTTCCATGCTGTCTTCAGCATTTTGTTTCCTTGTTTTAAAAAATAGAATTCTGTATTAGATGAATGCGGTTACTATGTACTCTATTTTGAACTTCTAACCCAAGTTTTAGTGTGAGATATCTTCTTCTTCCTAATGCTTATGAAATCTAAAGAACCCTGATGGCATAGCAGTTACAGTGTAGTTCGAACCCACAAGCTGCCAGTGGTAGGAAGACGGAAGTTTGCTTCTGTACAGACTGACAGCCTTGGAAGCCCTATGGAAAATTCTCCTCAACCCATTGGGTTGTTATGAATCAGGAGCAATTCCACGGCAGTAAGTTTTGGTTTGATCAGAGATAAACTATGAGTATTTTAGTGGAAAAGAGGCAAGAAAAACATAAATAATTTTAAGACACAGAACAAATTGAGAGCACAGAGAAAACTGATGGCTTTCTTTTGGCCTCTAAATAAGAAAATCATAATGGGGAACATATTGGGCTATGTGTTGGGCTGTTAACTACAGGTCAGCAGTTTGAATCCACAAGCTGCTCCGTGAGAGAAAAATGAAGCTTTCTGCTCCCATAAAGATTTACAGCCTCAGAAACTCTCTCTCTACAGGGTTGTTATGAGTCAGAACCATACTTAACAACATAATGGAGCTTGGCAGTCCAAGCTATATCTTTACTTTCCTTCAGATTTCAGAACCTACTTCTTCTCAGCCCTAAACACACACTAACAATACTAATACAATATCTCAACAATATTACTGGCTAAATGGAACTTTTCTGGATTGCTAGTGGAAAACATAATCATGTGAACAACTCTGTATGAAAATAAATTTAGACCTCCAAACACCTAATTTAAAATAAATTATTAAAATATATTTATAGGCTTCAAGCTTATAAAATGTCAGATTGTAAAACACTATACATATCAAAGTTGTTTTAAGGGCCGTCGAGTCCATTCTGACCCACAGCAACCCTATATAGGGTTTCCAAGGAACGGCTGGTGAGCTTGAACCACCGACCTTGCAATTCAAACAACTTTACAGTCAGACGCATTAGTCCACAGCGCCATACTAGGACTCTAAATATCCAAGTAAAATACCTTTATTTTTTATTATTTTTTAACATCAGTTCTTACCCCGTGCTCGTACCCGACATTCCTCTTCCTCTGCATTTCTCAGTATTTGCTTGGCATGATTCAATGAAGATTCACATTTCAGAAGGGTTTTCACATGTGTAGCCAGGGAATCAGCACTGCTGCTACCACCATCCTCAGTCTCTGACACACCCTCTTCCTCTCTGCTATCTGTTATGCTAGCATTGGGTGAAGCAGCTGGAAAGAAGTTTAGAAGGACATCTGACACTGACTCCAAAGACTCTGGTAAATTACTGTCCCATGAGCAGGAACCATGCCCGTCACTTGTGTCACTACTTGAATCACTTTTTATGATACTCATCACAGGGATAACAATTTTATTCCCAATGTTTCCACTACACCCTTCAGGTTCAGACCTCATTACATATTTGGCTGTTTCATACTGCTTAAGGGTTTCCTCTAATGCTACTCTGGCTTTGCTTTCTGCTTCCTGCAGAGGACTTCTAACTGTAGTTGAACTAATAAACTCCCAATTTTCAAACCCTCTCTGGCATTTTAGATTTGTCTGTGTGCTAATATCCTTCTGAATGCACTTGCTGCTTGGGTTTTTCTCTGATACTGGCTGTTTCTGAAGCAAATCATCATTACATTCATCAGCTGGAAAGGGTTCTTTGAAGCAAACCTTCTTCGGTTGTATACACGAAGCGTCACTGACATCCCTGAAGGGGATAAGAGGAGTAGGAACATTGCATCGCTTCAGTGCTATATTTTCTGCCTCCATTAAAAGCGTCTGAATCTCTTTAAGAGTTTTGGAACCACTATCAATATCTCGGGTTTCCTCAGGGCCCAAATCTCCAAAATTTAATGATTCAGGTTTATGTATTACAGCTCTACCTTCAGCCTGAGAATTTACAGGCATATTCTTTGAGTTAACACTGGGGTCAGAGGAATCAAAATTGTCTATTAACCTTTGGGTGCGTTCCAAAACAAGTTTGTGCTTTTCACTATGTAAGTAAGTATCAGAGGGAACTGTTGGCAACTCAGTAATCTGTTCAACTTGCCCAACACTTGAGAGCTTCAGGGTATCTTCAGTTACATGTTTATCTGGCAAATCTTGTTGAGAAAAAATATTAAGCTTTTCTCCCTGTGAAACAGAACTCGTAGGAACTGTTGGTAACACAGTTTTCTGGTCACTTGGTTCAGGAATTATTGAAGCCTTCAGAGAATCAGCAGTTAGATGTCTATTTGACAATTCCGGTGGGTAGAAAATATTAGATTGCTCTGTCTGTGAACAGGAACTGTCAAGAGATGCTGGTATTCCAGTATTCCCATCAGTTGGTTTAAGGACTGTTGAAACCTTCAGATTATCTTCATTTTGATGTTTATCTGGCAACCCTTGTTGAGAGATATTACTAGGCTTTCCTCTTTGAGAATAAAAGCTAGAGAAAACTGTTAGTAACGGAGTCTTCTGGTCATCTGATCCAATCACAGTTGAAATCTTGGGCTTCTCTCGGGATGAACTGGAACTGGTGGGACCAATTGGTGACTCAGTCTTGTCATCAGATCCAGTAACAGGTGAAATCTTAAGCTTCACTGTATGTGAGTAGGAACTAATGGGAGCTATTAGTAATCCAGTTTTTTGGTCAGTTGGTCTAGGAGCAGTTGAAACTTTCAGAGCCTCTTCAGTTAGATGACTATCTGACACATTCTGTTGGTAAAAAGTACCAGATTTCTCACTAGGTGAGTAAGAGCTAGAGAGTTGTGTTGGTATCCTAATTTTATGGTCAGCTGGTCCAGGAACATCTGAACTTTTCAGAGACTCTTCAGTTAGATGACTGTCTGACAATACTTGTTGGTAGAAAATACCAGATGTATCTCTCTTCGAGGAGAAATGAGAGGATACTGTTGGTACTCCAGACTTTTGGTCGGTTGGTCCAGGAACAGCTGAAACCTTTGAAGTCTCTTCAGTCAGATCACTGTCTGACAACTCCTGTTGGTAGAATATATCAGACTTCTCTCTCTGCGGGTAGGAACCAGTGGGTACTGTTGGTATCCCAGTCTTTTGGTCAGCAGGTCCAGGAAGAGGTGAATCTTTCAGAGTCTCTTCAGTTAGATGACTATCTGGACGTGCTTGTTGGTATATAATACCAGTCTTCTCTTTATGTGAGTAAGAACTAGTAAGTACTGTTGGTATCCCAATCTTCTGATCAGCTGACTCAAGAACAGTTAAAACTTTCAGAGCCTCTTCTCCAGTAAGATGATGATCTGGCAGTGTCTGATGATGAAAACTACCGGGCTTCTCTTTATGTAAGTAAGAACTAGAAGGCACTGTTGGTACCCCAGACTTTTGGGCAGCAGGTCCAGTAACAGCTAAAACCTTCACAGCCTCCTCACTTAGATGACTATTTGGCAACACCTGTTGGTAGAAAATACCAGGCTGCTCTCTCTGTGGGTAGGAACTAGAAAGCACTGTTTGTATTCCAGTCTTTTTGTCAGCTGGACCAGGGATAGGTGAACTTTCCAAAGCCTCTTCAGTTAGATGACTATCTGATAATTCCTGTTGGTAGAAAACATCAGGCTTCTCTCTCTGTGGGTAGGAACTAGAGGACACTGTTGGTATCCCAGTCTTCTGGTCAGTTGGTACACCAGGAACAGGTGAACTTCTCAGAGCCTGTTCAGTTTGACAACTATCTTGTAATACCTGTTGGTAGAAAGTACTGGGTTTCTCTTCATGTGAATGAGAAACAGAAGGCACTGCTGGTATCTCAGTCTTTTGGTCAGGTTGTCTGGAAACCACTGAATCTTTCAGAGCTTCTTCAGTTAGCTGACTAACTGGCAATGACTGTGGGTAGAAAACACCAGGCTTCTCTCTCTGTGGGTAGGAACTAGTGGACACTGTTGGTATCCCAGGCTTCTGGTCAGCTGGTACACCAGGAACAAGTGAACTTCTCAGAGTCTGTTCAGTTTGAGGACTATTTGGTAACACTTGTTGGTGGAACGT